ACAAGGTCGTCCTAACAAAGACGTCTTTACCGGACGTCTTTAGGACGTCCTAATTTGGTCTGAGACGTCGGGACCTAGTTAAGACGTCCGTAAGACGTTTGATTGACGTCTGTGCCCGCTGGGTACATACATACATACATACATACATACATACATACATACATACATACATACATACATACACCCATACATACATACATACATTCATACATACATACATACATACATACATACATACATACATACATACATACATACATATACATACATACATACATCTCATACAAATGAGATTATATATGATGTCAAATATATGAGAGTTTGTCACTCTCCTTTGTTTAAAGTACATTGTTGTTAAGTATGAACACTAAATAAATAATTGCAATCACAAAAATTACAAGAAACAATAAAATCTAATGTTATTCCACTCAATTAAGTAATGTGGTTATTTTATTTTTAAACTTAGACATAGTTAAGTTATATATCGGTTATGTTTTTAATTATAAAAATATAAATACTATTTAAAAACTTTAAAAAACAATGATTATGTTTTTAAATTGAAATTTCATTGTAATAATCATTATGAAAAATAGAGAAATTACTTAAAAATTGTTACATGCTTTGGAAAAAACTTAGTCAAATCAGTTACCGACCCTGATGATCATAAAGTTACAGGGATTACTGACATAGACTTCAAATTTTTTACTAAACTATTTAGCAAAAATAATAATAAAATAAACAGACACAAGGATAGATTTGAGTTGCATTACAAAATCTGCTAAAAAAAAGGACTAATGACAAGCGATGCATGTTTTGAAAAGATAAACTAGAGATAGGGGTTTCAACTTTACCTACTTCTCCTCACAATTTAGGTATAATATTTCATGAAAATTAAAGAAATCGACTCATGATTTTTTAAATATTTAATTGCGTTTTAGCAAGTGTTTATACTAAATACATTCATCTCATATTTAAACCAGTTGTCTACAGAAGGCCACTTGGTGCAAATTCCATACCATTAACCCAAGCTTTTGAAAAAATAAAGAAAAGGAGAGCTGAAAAAATAAGCATTGCTGTCAAAAGTGAGGAATTATTTTACTCACTTATTTTGAAACTAAAAGAGAAAATAAGTATCAGCGATGCTAAGGTAAATTATCATCTATGCTGTAGCCATTTTTAAATTATTTTTTGAAAAAAATATTTTTAAAACTCTAATAGGTGATAAATTTCTTAGTGAATTGTATTCATCTCACTATTCAAATTTACATTTTTACATCTAAGGTTGTGAAGCAAATACTAAAGCAAATACTAAATACTAAATCAGAGAAAAATGGTGCAATTAGTTTGACAACAATATTTACTGGAGAGAAAACAATAGCTTTAATTTTGGATGGCCGACTTAGTAAAGCCGATTACCAAACAGTTCTTATTGGAGAAGTTTTTAAATGAAACAAGTCTATTCAGTATATAGTAAGAGATTTAAGTTGTTTTGGAATAAAAACTACTGATTATCCAGCCACAGTTAGTTTACAGAGCTTTATTGACCAGGATGTTAAAAATACTCAATGAATCAGTAAAAGCTCCTTAAAAATCCATACTAGTCTTTATACACAAAATATAATTTGATGCTTCAACCAGCCAATCATTATACAAACCAAATATAGAAGACGAGATAAGAATCATTTATGTTGATGAATGATTAATCTATCTTGCCTCGTTCTAATTAAACATTATATTGAATGGTTTGACAAATCACTATGGACCAGTGAAAAACCATCCTCTACACTTTACTGCCGTCAAGTACGACTTCATTATGTTAAAGAAAGTGCTATTATTACGCAAGAATATATTTCCTTCAAGAACAATAACTTGAAACCAACGGTCTTTCATTACTTTATTATCAAACATAAGTCATAATAAAAATTATTGATGAAAAGTGGCTACTATAGATTTGCCTTGAAGCAATTATTTTTAAGTATTTAGTATTTTTAGACTGCCACTTAAATTATTAACAATCTAAATGTTGTTTTTAAAAAAATCTTTAATGTAGTTTCTTCTGAGGTTGAATTAGGCAGAATAATTGTATAAATTAGATGTATTGAATGCTGCCTTCATATCAGTTATAGAATTGAATTAGGAAAGTAGCAAGTTAGGGGAGAGGGTGATAAAGAAATTCTTTTAAAAAAAAGATTATTGTTCAACAAAAGATGAAGTATCACTTAGATTTATTTGTAGATGTACCAAAAAGCAGCGGCTCAGGTATAAAAAAATGATGGAAACACGGCACAAAAAGTATTCCAAAACTATAAGGTGTCTACTGAAATACTTGGCTTATATAAAAATATCATGAAACGTTTCTACGTTGTTCTTTGTGTTTTATTGTGCAAACATTAAATAAACGCTGATAAACTTGAAAAATATACCAAAGAAACAGCAGAACTCTACGTTTTTCTGTAACCATGGTTACCAATGCCTTATATCATACATAAAGTTCTAATTCATAGTTCTCAAACTGGAAGAGATAAACCAGTAGGTCTTCTTTCTCAGCTCAGGAATGTTGAAACAAACACGTTTAAAATATTGAGAACAGTATACGAGAAAATATTCAAGAAAACTCACTAATGAAGATGTAATGCGAACACTATTGTGCAGTTCAGATCGAACTAATAGCTCTCTAAGCAGGAGTTTGAGATGTATTAAAAAACTTGAACTTAAAAAAGATTGTATTAAACTTTTGTTGTAAATTTTTTTTAATTTGAAGTTTTGTATATTTTTACTCTGATTTCTGATAAAATATCAAATAAATAAACTAATCTAATAAATAAACTAATAAATAAACTAATCTAATAAATAAACTAATAAATAAACTAATCTAATAAATAAACGTTTCTTTGTTTCTAAAAAGGGGTCTAACAAGTAACAAACATTTTAATTAATTAATGCTTCGAATATGTCAAAAACTGTTTCTAAAAACAGCTACAAGATATGTCTAAAATCCTTAACACCTTATGTACCCTATTCTCTTAGGGTGTTTAGGGTGCCTGCATCTGCAAAAAACTAACTTTTTTTTTTAACTAATTTTTATGATGACTAGAATCACTCATAAAAACTTCAATTTGACAACTTTAAAAATAAAGGAATTATGATTTTTTGTTCATTTTATTTCGATATTTGCTATTGTATTATGAAGTGTCTAACCTGGTGAATAACTTTATAGTTTTTTAGTTGAAAATTTAAACCATTTTCAGTTTGTCTTGTAAACAGGTTTCTGTTAAACTAATAGTTTTGAAAGTAATTTTAATACTAACCAAGAAATTTTCAAATGCTTTTAATGCTTATGTTTAATATGAAGAATGCATTAATATCTATATTAGCAGTAAGATTTCAAATATCAGAATTATAATGAAAAAGTTTCTTTTAGGATGCATATAAATTGCAAAAGTGTTCTTATATTTCAGGCTTGCACAAAAAAGACTACCAATAAAGTAAAAAGTTGGCATTAAAATATAAAAAGCCACCTACTTTTACTTATTGTTTAGAACCAAATAAAAATACAAATAGAATACAAATAAAAACTATATATCATTTCAATAGGCATCGGAGCAAAGAAAACTAATGATATTTTTGAAAGTTATTTATAAACTAATTGCCACTTTATAACATTTAGAAATAATATGAGGTAAGCATTGCGGTGTGTTTTTCAAACAAAATAGTTTTCCCATCATTATCAGGTAATGAAAATCTCAGATTTTAAATTTTATCGCGTTTTTCAGATAACAGACTATATTTTTAAAAAACGTGATAAAAATCTTTCAGCAGCAACATATTCATATTTTTAAATGCATATTTTTATTGTATCAAAATTATAGATTACTAACTTCCTATGTTCTGCTTTGTAAAATTTTTTACATTAATTAAAAAGATTATACATAAATATTTATTAGAATTGTCAATGATTCCTATTATTTGACTATATTTAGCTCATTATGAATTATTTTTTGCTGCGAAACAGAAACTAATTCTTTTCTTCAAAAAATTATATTGCTAGGAGAAGAAATTAAATTAGATTGAAAAGAAGATTATCTTTTCAAGTGTTCACAATAACTGCGTAAGAGCCTCAGCCCAATGATTAAGCTTAAAATAGCAATAATAAAAGAAGTTAATAAAAACTCTATGCAAACTTTTTTTTTTTTGATTTTTGTTTAATTTTAGATTCCCCAAGAAGTCCTTATAATCTTATCACAGATCACCGCGAAAAAGCATTTTAAAAAAGTTCACGCTTCCTTTTTAACCGATATTATAACAGCTGTTCAGAAGTGGCGTTGAACCACAGATCTCTAGCTTTTGATGCAAGCGCGCTATCCTCTGCGAAACGGATGATTGATTAATAAAAATGTAATTAGCTTTTGTTAATTTCGCGTAATACATAGGTTTGCGATCAAATTTTTTTTTCAACATTAAGCTTTTATTGATCAGCATCCCAAAAGTTCATCTTACATTGATTTTTTTTTAAAGTACTATGGATGCTTTAAGTGAATTTAAAGTTAATTTATTACTTTACATTTTATTGTTAGAACATGAAAAATAGTTATTTTTCTAAGTTACCGAATAATAACTTAATTGAGATTAAATTAGTTAACCATAAAAATTAACAACGAGTTTTATAAAATTATTAAGTATGAGGAAAATAAGTTAATCTTACTAAATGAAGGGTTTCTATTGGACACTTTCAAATCACCGAGGAACAAAGCTTCCAAGAAACTTGTCTAGTTTTCTAATAAGAATATTTTTTGATAAGCTCCTTGTGATGTAAAAAAGGACAATTTAATTGTTTAAAATATTTATTTTTACATAAAAGGATAAAGAAAATTTGTTTATGTATATTTAAAGCTTAAAACGCTTTGCAAGTTTGAAATTGTGAGGTTTTGTGTTTAAAAGGGCAATTCTTTTCAAGTTTGTAAACAAAATTTGTACATAAGTCGCGTAAATGAATTTAAAATTTTTTAGAACCAAATATATATATTAAGCTTGTATAACTGTGAGTATAATTGTTGATTAGTTACTAATGTTAAAAAAAGTATAACATCAACATATTATTATCTAAAACTTTTTTTTTTATTTTTAGTTTCATGAGCATTCATGATATGATAGGTGTGATGCCATGAGTTACCTTACTGCTTGAATGCCACCCTAGTAATACAGCCGTTTCTAAATATAGCAACTAAAAAAGAATGAGTAATTAAGAATGTTTTGTATTGCAACTAATGCGCATCAATATAATGCGAGATAATATAATGCGATAGTTTCGCTAAAGCTTGGCGCTTGTTTTGACACAAATATTGTACGAACAAATAATTATAAAATTTCAAAGTTTATACATTATTATTTCATAAAAAGTAAATGAAATCTTACCATTTTTTATTTTTAACTTTATTTCTACTAAATAAGATTGTCTTTGCCAATCATTACCGCGGTGTAGTATCAAGCAGTGAGTGGCTCGATAACGATCTATTTTACTTTAAGGCACAATTCTACTATCGACTTAAAGATAATGGTGCTGGCTCTTTTGTAAAATGTGATGACCAATTGATCAGTAGTAAAACAATAAAGAAAGACGAAAGTACCTTTTCATTAGCAGTCTACAAGTGCAATCAATTTGAAGTATGTGGTAATGCACTATTTTTTCTTGAAAATAGTTTCATTTGCAATAGTTATAGCATACATGAAGACTGGTCAATAGTTGATAAATTAGAAAAAGTCAATATTAAAAGTAATGATTTCCAAGAGGGAGATTCTATAGTTGCAAAGTTATTTACGGCGTATGGCGAATGGTCAGATTTGCCTGTTAGATATGCCTGGACTCATTTTAGTCGTAAAGTAAAAAACAAAAACAATAATTGGAATCATCCACCTTCTACTAAGACCTTTCCAAAATATAATTTAATCAAAGGCTGCGAGACAAAGTTACAAATTCCAGTTGATGACATTGACGATGATACTGTTAGATGTAGACCATCGTTGAAAAGTGCTGGCGAATGTGTGAACTGTAATTTTAAACCTGCTTATTTGGATCAAGAAACTTGCACTATTGTATTTCCTGCTAATGTGACAGAACCTTTGATAATTGAGATTCAAATTGAGGATTTTAGTAACAAAGGTGACGTAAAACCAATGAGTAGTGTCCCATTACAATTCATGGTAACTCTTACATTAGCTCATCAAAATTGCAATGATTACCTTATATTCACGTCTGTAGTGCCACCTGACAACTCTTGCAATGCAATTGCCGAAAAAACACAATATAATAATCGTTTTGAATTTAATTCAACATCAAATGTTACTGACGTATTTTTAAATGCATTTGATGGTTTTATAAAAGGAAGCTTAAATTACAGCTTGGATTATAATTTATGGTTTTTTAACTATAGCGTAATTGCACGCAGTTCAAATGTTACACAGGAGTCAATTACTGTTTACGCCAAAAACGCTGAAGGTTATTCATCAGAAATTCGCAAACTGCAATATGTGCTAAACTACATACCACCAAGCATTATAGACGTGTATCCACTTGGTGACATATGCCAGAAAACGGCGGACAATTACAACTGGACATTTACAACTAATCGTAACGTTTCATCTCCTGAAAAAACAAGTTATATTAAATTCATGAAAATAGAAAATGAGAATTCATTAAAACTTGCTTATCAGTTTAATATGCTGACACTTAATAAAAACAACTTTGACAGTTTTATTCTTTCCGTACCTATTTCTCAACTTGAATTAAATAAAAATTATAGTATTTTAATTGATTTTGGTGCCATCATAACTCTAGATTATTGCAAACCACAATCAAGGGCTGTTAATGATTTAAAAAAGTACCAGTTTAAGATTATTGGTGAGTTATCTAAAGAGGTTACGTTTTTGAAGCTCCCTCCTAGATACACAAAAGGTTTCTTACTAAAACTAGAGTGGAAATTTCTAACTTATGGAAAAAAAAGTGATTGTTTAATCATGTATAAAAATGCACCGTTTTATGATGTCTTATGTAATGAAACCAGTCTTGAGTTGCATAATCAACCAACTGGTCAATACAACTTTCAGGTTAGATATTCAACTAAATGTTCTGCTTCACTTCTAAGTGCGCAAATTAGCTGGTTTGTGGTAAATGAGAAACCTATTGTGGAAGTTACAACATTGAACCTCATAAACGGCTACGCCTCAAATAGTTTCACAGTAATTATAAAATGCAACCACGTGTTGCCTTGTAATATACTTTGCAAATTTTCAACTAAAGATAAAATCAACTTTCAAAATTTTGAGAATTGTTTGTCAACATTTAAGCCTGATGCTCAATTAGTTCATTTAGAATACTACGTGCTTCAAGTGTATGCAAAGGACGAGGCTGAAAACGAAGCAAATATTGTTAAAGTAGAATTCATTGCTGATACTAAACCACCACAATTTAAAAACGCAATAATCGAGCTGTAGCTTAATTGTGGAGGTAGTTTAGACTCTATTGCCAAACCTCTTGTTGAAGATGATACAGATCATAACCCTTCATTGCATTACACAGACATTTATCACGGCACATGTTCAATTAGCCGCATTTGGATTACAAAAGATCATCTAAATAACATTGCAACATTTACTCAAACAATAACATTAGTCTCGTTAGCTACATTAAGTTATTTAAAAAATCTTACAGTCCACTGTGTAACAAACCAACAATTTATTCAGGATTTAAAAATTTATCAAGATTTTATTACTTTAGAGAACAATCTTTGTTATCGCACTTTGGATACGACACCAACAATCTTAAACTTTCCGTCAAATGACTGTGATTTTACATTTAATGTGCGTTGGGCAGTTAAAGACAGTTGCTCGATTAGCTACCAGGACATCATTCAAACGGTTATTGTTGGCATTAAAGATTTTCCCTACTCACCACTTCACCTACAGAGAGACGTAAGTCTCTATGGTATCTTCTTTAAATGGCCTTTAGATTCTAACTCTGGTGAAAACAAAGTTTACTTAAGAAGTTCAAAACAGGAAAAAGCTACTTTGATTGTTTCTGTAACAACTAACTATTGGACCTATCCGTTTAGTTTAGATACAAATACAGATTACTACTGGAATGTAGTATATATCAACTCTAATAATGCATCTATCAAACGTTCAAGTCCGTTTTGGCAATTTAAAACCAAAAGTACAGGAGATTTAGCATTAGATTCAGTTAAAACACCAAACGAGCTTTATGCTGGTTATAAAATTCAAATAACTTGGACTGTAAAAAATGTTGGGAAATCAACTACATCCTCATCATTGTGGTACGATTATGTTTTAGGATCATCATTTGATGACATTAATACCGCAACACATTTAGGTTATGTAAAACAAAATCGTTTTGTAGAGCCTAACGGTCAGTACACTTCCCAGCTTAGTTACGAAATCGATGAACGCATTACCTCAAAATACTTTTACGTGTTTATTATCATTGATTATACTAAAGTTCTTGAGGATTCAGACTATTTGAATAACATTATAAAAGTACCAAACTCAGTTAAAATACTGCAAGTAGCACTTCCAAACCTGATACCAAAGACAATAAGTTTGATTCCGGACATCGTTCAAGCAGGAGAAGACATTGAGATAAGAGTTACAGTTGAAAACAACGGCGAGGGTAACACAAAGTTAAACAGTGCTTGGACAGACTCGATTAAAATAAACCTAATTAATTCTCAAAACGTTTACTCAGCTACTGTAGCAAATGCTGGTATTGTTAAAATTAAGAACTCATACGCAATTATAATGAAGTTTAAATTACCAATCATTTACTATGGTTATGCTAACGTAATATGTCAGGTTAATACATTTAATACACTTTACGAAGCATCTTTAGCTGATAACTTGTTGAGCAAAAGTTTAGAAATAATTTCACCTAACACCCCACGCTTGGTCTTTGCATTTAGCTCAAAAAGTTTGACAGCTAAAACAGGCGAAATAATTGTAGTTGAATACTCAGTCAAAAATGACGGTGTTTCTAGTACAGTTGAGTATAAATGGGTAGTCTTTATAAGAATTGTATCTATAAATACTGAAAAAGAACTCTTGTCAAAACAGTT